CAGAGAGATATTTGGTACTTCACTGTAACAGTAATGCCAGCTTTCTTAAGTTAGTGCTGATCCTGGCACATAAGTGGCTACATTTATGTATCAAATGTGGATGGAGACAATCCTGTGACCTACCAAGATGGTACTGACAAAGTCATTAACCTTCCTTTGTTACAGTGTTCCCAAAAGAAAAAATGGGAATCACAGACTCATAGAACATTTTGGGTTGGAAGGGACCTTCAAGATCATCCAGTCCCAACCCCTGCATGGGCAGGGACACCTCCCACCAGCCCAGGCTGCTCCAAGCCCCATCCAACCTGCCCTTCAACACTGCCAGGGATGGGGCAGCCACAGCTTCCCTGGGCAGCCTGGGCCAGGCTCTCACCACCCTCACACTCCACAATTCCCTCCTCATGTCTCACCTCAGTCTCCCCTCCTCCAGTTTTCACCCATTCCCCCTTGTCCTCTCCCTCCCTGCCCTTGTCCCAAGTCCCTCCCCAGCTTTCCTGGAGCCCCTTCAGGCCCTGGAAGCTGCTCTAAGGTCTCCCTGGAGCCTTCTCTTCTCCAGGCTGAACACCCCAACTCTCCCAGCCTGTCTCCAGAGCAGAGCTGCTCCAGCCCAGTCACTGGGAATCATCATCCTACTGCCCTTTGATAAGTGACCATTCTTGGCAGGGTATTAGTTAACATGGAGAGAGCTGAAAATCTAGCTGAGTGAACAAAAGGCTGTTGGCACCATTAATATTCACAAAAGAAAGCTTATGATCTGATTGATGTTTGTAAGAAGTCTCCTTACATACTTATTTTGAAATGTTTAAAAATGGTGTTTTCCCTCCTCCTCATTAAGACCAAGATGTCTTAACGGGGCTCTGACAAAGCAACAAACACAAGGCACTTTGTTCAAGGTAAATAATAGTCAGAAGGCTTAGAACTATGAGTTCCTCATGTCCAGTCACTTATTTTACCAAGAAAATATATTTTGATAGCCTGGAAAAGTATTTAGGGATTTTAAGTTAGAATAAAAGTAGGAAATCAGTTTATTTCCATATTCACCTGTAATAAAAGGCAAATATTAGTAGGTGAAGAGGGCACGAAAGGAGAACTGTATCCAGGCTGGTGTGATTTTTTTGTTTCCACATAGAAATTAAAATTGTATCTGGAAAAAAATGAAGTGCCATCAGATGATACTTGTAATACAGGTCTTGGATGAATAAATGAATCAGCTTCTTGTGTAATTAATGAAATAAATTTTTCACTGTGAGTAGGCAACAATGAACTATTTAGCTATATATAAATAGCAGCATTATGAGTTGCATTTGAATGTTACTCACTGTTGGCTGTTAAAAGGTGTACAGTAATGATTCTCACAATCTGGTTTTGTTTACAAACTCACAAGACAATAGCTGAGAAATGAAAAGAAAATATGTTTTGGTCTCTATTGAAAACTGTTAGGGAAATGAAGGGAAAACTTTAAAAGTGATTGCTGATCAGTCCCTCATAAAGCAACACTGGATTGAGTTAAGTTTCATATATCTTTGTGTGTTCTGCCATTGATTTAATGGAGCCAGAATTTTACAGAAAGGATACAAAAGGAATTTTCTGTCCATCTGCCAGGGCTCTGGCATTCATGTTATACATCTCAATGATCCTTATTTTGTGTTTATGGAGGTTTTCTATGAAAGCAGCATTGAATTCATTCCATGCAATCAAAGCAATGAATGTGTTCTCCCAGCTGCAGCAAAATCTACAGGGAAATACTATTTCACCTTTAGTTTCAGGTAACTTTTCAGCAACCAAATGTTGGCATTATTTGCCCTCACCAACAGGTTCCAACTTTGCAACCTGCTTAGAGAAGGAGTGTTGGCCCAGCCATAAGGAGAGGGCTCCAAAGGTCCCTTCCAGCCTAAATTACACAGTGGTCCTGTTTACAAATCTTCATCTCCACTACCATGACACAAAAACACAACTGCCCACAAATATGCAAACCACCTGTTCCATTTCTCTTATATCTGTTAATATTAATGCATCTCTAATTACAATCTGGTTCTTTACAAGCATCTTCACATTCCACGTGTGCTCACTAACAGGTGTTTTGATTCAGGTGCCATTAGGCAGTGACTCACTGTGTGTTGTCTGATGATGACATTCTAAATGGGGGGGATACTCCTTGAGAACCTTTGGAATTGGAAATATGTTTCTTGAGCTCTTCCCCTTCTGATTTAGAGCAGCCCATTCTGCCCAGTGATGATTCAACTTCAAGCATTAGATAACAATGTGGAAAACAATGCACCAAAGGAGATAACTCCTCCTTCTGTTGTGCTTGCTTGGCATTCCATCCTAGCAATTCTTGGATTTGGATTCATTATCTGCAGTCATATTAATGGCAGAGTTGGTGTTCCCTTCAAGGTTCCCTTATTTTTTCAGTATCACTGTATCACCTGTACCTGGAACCAAGTTCCTCTCCTCAAGTGTCAGAGCCCCATTTGCCTATAGAACTATTGTCTTTATAATCTCACACAGATTTTAGAGTTTATCTTGCTGCATCTCTCTCTGTTAACATCAGCAGCTTCTTAGGATATTTAAATAGGAAGATGCTCTAAACAGCAGGTTGTTTCACTCACTTAAAACTTCCTGTGTTTCGTTCTGGGGAATGGCTTTTGATAAGGGCTTGTAGTGAGAGGACAAGAGGGAATGGATGAAAACTGGAGGAGGGGAGATTGAGGTGAGACATGAGGAGGAAATTGTGGAGTGTGAGGGTGGTGAGAGCCTGGCCCAGGTTGCCCAGGGAAGCTGTGGCTGCCCCATCCCTGGGGGTGTTGAAGGGCAGGTTGGATGGGGCTTGGAGCAACCTGGGCTGGTGGGAGGTGTCCCTGCCCATGCAGGGGGTTGGGACTGGGTGATCTTAAGTTCTCTTCCAATCCAAACCATTCCATGTTTCTATGATAAAGAACTAGTTGCTTGAGAGCTTAAAGCCCTTTCAATATAGCCCATGGTACACACTGTGCTTTCCCTGTGCTGTCAGGTAGATCAAACCAAATATGAAGCTTAAACTTTTACACCAGTGTAGCTGTTGTTTTGGGTTTTTTTTTAAATAAAATGTCACAAAAACCTGTTGCATACAGGAAGTGTTTCACTGGGTACACCCCAAATCACAGAAGTGCCATGGCTAAACTTTTGTTACTGCCCTGTAAGTAAAAAAAAAAAGTTCATTTTTCTAATATTTACACTCAGGTTTGTATTCAGAATATTTTAAATCAAAACCAGGTCACTGTGACAAGCATATTTAAAGTGGAAAAAAACAAAGCAAGCTGTTTAGACTTCTCTAATTTTTCTGATGAATGAAAACATACTAGAACTCCCGAAATCATTTGGTTGAATCAGCAAAATGCAAATTCCTAAACATGCTGCTCTGGGTAGAAGCCAGGGAGTCATCGGAATCCTTGAATTCCTGAAGAGACCGTCAGCAGCAGCGGCCACGGCCTGACATCTGGTG